TGTTTGCTGTGTGCGATTCTCTACGAATTGCTCGTTTCCACCCGCAAAGCGAGAGTTTGACGAATTATCGGCACAGGCAATCCGGGACTCTGATGAGTTTTACAACAAGTGAGCGCAGCAACAGTCGCTACCAGAGTATGATGCAGTTAAGGCAGGCAAGCCGATCAATGCAACCTGCAAGCTGGTCTCGCTCAAGCCAATGATTGACGACGCTGGCCTTCTACGCGTCGGAAGTCGACTACGGCATGCTGATTTCTTGACTGCAGAACAATGCAATCCGATCGTCCTACCACGAGGAGATCATGTGACACAGCTGATTGTCAAGGCATGTCACGAACGAGGATATCACGCGTTCCGTGTCAGCCACGCGCTAGGCGAACTCTCATAACGCTACTGGATCGTCGCTGGCCGCGAAGAGGTGCGAGCTTGGGAAGCCAAGTGTGCGAGGAGCGCCCGGAACCGTACGAAGCCGGCAATGCAGGTGATGGGCGTCACTACCTTGGGTCCGAGTTAGCCTGCCGCTACGCGCATTCAGCCGAGTCTCTGTAGACTACGCCGGACTTTTTTATGACGAAGCCGGGTCGCGGCCAGACACAACACAAGCGGTATCCGTGCTTGTTCACCTGCTTGCAGACGAGAGCAGTGCATCTCGCGCTGTCATACGCCTTGACAACGGACTCGTTTCTGCAGGCGTACGTACGCTTCACCAATCAACGGTGAGTACCGATCGACGTCATCTCCGACAATGGCACGAATTTCGTCGGCTTCACCAATGAGCTTGCTCAGCTAGTCAAGCAGCTTGATGCAGAGGCGATTCAGCGGCAGACAGCGGACCAGCAGACTAGCTGGCGTTTCAACCCTCCAGCAGTACCACATTCCGCGGAGTGCATGAGGCGTTAGTAAAATCGGCAAAGCGTGCTATCTCGCCGATTCTGAAGAACACGGAGGTCACAGACGAGGAGCTTTTGTCTGCCATTGTCGGCGCAGAGGCGCTCATGAACTCACGGCCCCTGTCCTACATGTCGGCAGATGGTCGTGACCCGACTCCACTAACGCCCAACCATTTCCTGTACAGCCGGGTCGGTACTCGGTTTGCACCTGCAGGAGTGGACGAGAGCGAGTTCAACCCTCGGCAACGCTGGTGTGCAGTGCAAGAACTCATGCTGCACTTTTGGCGGAGATGGATGCAGTAAGACGTGCCAGAGCTGAACCGGCGAGTCAAGTGAAGGACGGTCGAGACAGACCTCAAGATCGACGACATCGTTCTATTGACATCCCAAGACAACCCACGGGGCACTTGGCCAATGGGTCGTGTCACCGAAGTGCACCCTTGTCCAAACGGACACGTGCGATTTGTGAAGGTCAAGGTGGGCGGCAAGACCTACACCCGCCCAATCGTGCGTCTTTGCAAGCTGTTCTGTGAGTAGCTCCTTGTTTGCCTATTTCAGAACAATATTCAATTTTCCTATTTTTTGGTCACTGTGAATTTCGGCACAGTGAGAAGGGAGAGAAATGTTTAGAACAGTATCTCTTTGTCGTTTTTACTATAATCGAGTGGCACATTCAAACTACAATTCTACGAGTGCTAGTTTGAAATTGCGTTATGAATTTGAGCAATTGTTACTTTGTACAGCAGGTACGACCAATTAATATTTACATACTCACCGGTTTTCGTTTCGCAGTCCAGCGCTGTGACTCAGCTAAATTATATTTCGTTTGCCTTGTATTGTCTGACTAGGGGCGCTGTCACCCCCTCGGGTGCGAGCACCCTTGGACAGAACCACTTCACTGAACGACAGTGTTCATTTTCGATTTCCTCTTCTGCTTCTGTTGCACAGTTTGAATGTGTGCTATTTTCGTACTCTGCTCACGATCGAACCAGGCGCGTATCGATCTCCATAATTTTATTTTCCGTTGCCATACCTTGCATGATTACAATTTTTACCTGTCAGGGTGGATGCAAGTTTGCGAGCTCCTGACCTTTACTCCTTTTTTCGGTTTCCCGGGGCACTAGGCCCTCGACCCCAATACGGACATCGCCGTGCTCACTGATGACGAGCTCATCGAGCTCATCCAGCGACTGGGACTGGAGTTCCCCAGAAAGGCGAAAAGGCCAATGCTGATTGCCCTACTGAGAGGATCCAAGGACTCGGCTCTTGTGAGTCATGCTAACCCTGATGTAGCTAGCGATTGCGCCGAACTCTCCGAACTTACCGGGGTAGTAAGGGAACTGAAATCAGGGCTAGAGACGAAGAAAGATATGAAATGTACAGCTGAGAGATTCCGACATTGTCACATGCACCGGTACAAACACAAGGCCCAGCTGCACAGCACATTGTAGAAAATTCGTACGTAGACTCCGCAAGTCAGCCACCAAGGCCGCATGCACCTGGCCATGACAAACGTTCGCAAAAGCAAAACCACCGTAGGGAGGAGACATCATGGTACACAGCACCGAACACACCCAAGAGTGCACCTGGACTCGTAGGACGACCCTGCGTGACGGTGTACTACATTGGAAATGTTGACCCCGACTGCGATGCGGATTCAATAGCTGAACACTGCGAGGCACAAGGTGTATCTGTAGTACAAAGCGACGTGTACACCTCCATGCACTTTAGAACAGCCTCTGCTCGTATTACAGTCTTGGTCACGGACGCCAAGAAGGTCGCGGAAGAATCGTTCTGGCCTGACGAAGTTGGCCGTACTGTGAGAGTGTGGCGATTTGGTACAGAGGCCTGGGGTCCTAAACCCGTTAAAGCATAATGGCTCAAACCACCGACCCACTCCCCTTGAACCCGCATGCTCAACACACCAATCGGATCAGCATGAAGCTTAATCCACATGCCGCCCCGTTTCACCCATACACCCACCACCTGACCCAGCACAGTAGTACACTTAACATTGGCCACATCAATATAGCATAATTATTACGCAGTCTATGCCACAAACTGTGTGAAGTTGAAAGTATAATGATAGAACAGCAGCTGGATATACTAGCCGTTTCCGAGACCTGGCTAGATAACAGTGTTTCTGATCTGGAAGTGCATATCCGTAGTCAGCTGAAAGTACTTGAGGCTGTTTGTATTCGTTTGCTTAAGCCTGATTTTTGTAAGCAGAGGAAACGTGTACAGTAAAACCTGTAACTAACGACCACCCCTTGGTGCCCGGAAAAGTGGTTTTTAGTGGCAGGTGGTCTTTAGTTAGAGGTTTGCACCGCGTGACCATTTGGCCCAGAATCTGCGAAAACCAGGCTTAGGGTGAAATTTCACAAAATGATTTTTTCCCATTTTCAGCTTCTACTGGGCATGGGAGGTCAGGAAACAAAATATTACAGGTGTGGGTAAACTCATAGTGGTATTAAAAGTATCTCAAACACACCAGGGTATTGTGTTAAAAAAATCCAAAAAAAATTATTATCACAGGAAAGAAATGAAGAGAGATCCACCAGACACAAGGAAGAGACATGGATGATTTTTGTTTAGGTGACATGACAAGGTAGGCATCTGGGGGCAGGCTTGTTGTGGCTCCTTTGTGCTTCAGGCTGTAGTGGCCATGCACAGTTGTGCATGAAATTTGTTTGCTCATCACTCAGCACATTCTGGGGTTGAATACATGTACTGGCATGCTCTTTCGCTACACACCAGAAGGAAACCTGACTCCAGTTGAGATGGCACCTTTTGAAGGGTGAATCTAGTACAACTGTTCAGAAACAAGCCAGAACACAGCCTTTCAAACTGCTCCACTGTTCATAGTAAGCGCATACTGAGTAGTGTGCTGGCGTGCTGCAGTGTCTGCTTGGTGCTGATCAGCAAGTGAAATATCGGCACCACGTACAATCCCTTGCAGCTAGCTGTCAAGCGAGGAAAGTCTCGAGTGGGGGCTACTCGATCTGCTCGCTCATTCGCCTGGCATTCAGTAGCACTTCATCGCCAAGGACTTCAATTCAAAACAGTTTTCACACTGCGCTTTAAGCCTTTTTCCTTGTGAACTTGCTGCAAACGTATGAGCTCTGCTGTGCGTGTTCCCTTTGCGTGAGGCCCAGAAACAGCTAGTATCTCCATACTTCGATTGGCTGGATCGATGTCGTCCAGGTTCTCCTCGCTATCGCCATCACGAGTCTAACTGGAGACGATTTCTTCACCATTTTCCGCAAGCAGCAGCTAGCGCAGAAATTTCGCCCTCCCTGAGTTTAGGAGATGGAATCCGTTCGATCAGCTCAAAAACTCTTCGTTGTGAATTTTTCCACTCGACCATGCTGAAATACGGCCAAAGTCATACCTGCGCAGGAAAGCTCGCCCCTCCGCGACGTCTCCTCAGCAATTTCTACTCCAACACTACTCCCAAGGCCGCAGAACAAAGTGTAGTGTGAACTCTGACAAGGAAAAGCAGCGGTGATCACTTGTCACTCCAAACGACAAGCTTCTCCTTGCGCCACCAATAATATTTTGTGCGACTGTTGATGCAAAAGTGACTGAAGCCAGTGCAGGCTTGAGCGCAGTTTTTAAATTTTATTGCAAGATGCACCGTGAAATCACGTGCCTTGTGACGCAAGAATGCCAAGTCGCGTGGCCCACGGCTCACGAGATTTCAGAGTCACCTTTGTCAAGTGCGCTTGGTACTCGCCTTGAACGCCCGTTGGTCTGGATGTGATCACACTTGTGTTGTTACTGCGCTCAGGAACCGTGTCGTAGGCCTACGAACCGGGACTTTTCCTGACCATGTACAATTGTGGGTCGAAGGCCAGTGAATTGATGATGAAATCACACTCTTTATGACGTAAGAAATCTCTCATGCAGTTCACGCGGCAAGTGCGTGCAAGCAGTGCTGCTCGCGTGCCAGTCAACACAAAGGAACCGAGCTAGCCGCTTTTGTCGAGCATCGACATGAAAACAAGGGACTTTTACTGTTGGACTATGTTCGGGATTGCAGGAGGTAAGTGTGAAAGACGAATAACTCTCCATGCTGTACGGGGCATATTTCAACGGCTTGCTGAGTAGTTAGTGCGGGGCGGGTTCTGGTGCACTTTTTGACCTTTGACCTTTGGGCCAAATAAGGCACACTGTGTCGGGCTCGTTTGGTCTGGCTCGGGGACTCCCCCAGGGTTTGACCTTTGACCTTTGGGTTAAATAAGGCACACTGTGTCGGGCGCGCTTGGTCTGGCCCCGGGACTCCCCCAGGGTTCGACCTTTGGCCCTGCCATGCCATAAATGTCATCATGTTCTTTTCCGTGGCGACCGTGCACTTGTGCACGTTCGGTGCATTCGCACCAGGGAGTAGTAAAATACGTACTACTCCCTGATTTGCACATCGTAGATGTGCAGTGAATGACATATTGCGCATGCGCGCATAAGTACGCGGAGCGTGCGACCTTCAGTGGCCCTGCGTGTGGAAAAGACGTATACACCAGGTGTACACGTGTCATTGTAGGGTGATATAGCCGACCTCATATACGCTGTACGGGGAGATTATTTCCTCAGTATGTTGTAGGCAGTGCTGGAGGTGACGTGACGATGGCGGAGCCAAGTGCAAAACGATCTAGGCAGCCCAGACAGCCCACCTCGAGTGCCGTGCGTGGGTTTTTGAAAAAGTTTTCTTTGCCAGGTTCAGGCACTGATCCTCTCGTCTTTTTCAGCAGCCATCATGACGAGCTCCGACAGGTTCTGCTCGAGGAGCTTCAGTCTCACCCTTTCAAGGTGGTTTTAGTTTTGAGGGTGGAGATGACACGAGAGTCGGCCACGGGTAGTACGTCTGCCGTCCCGTTTTTTAGAAGTAGACCGGCTCGGATCCTCAGCGAAGGGGACATTGATAGTGCAGTCAAGACGATGGTGGCGAGGATCACTGGTCTTATTGATAAGTGGATGCAGAACGGATCCAACTGGACCGTTTCTCGAGTGAGACAGCTGGATGTGTCGACAGCAAAGTACACTCCTCTTCGAGGTGAGTTTCTGTTCATCCGGCAGTGTTTGTTCGAAGCCTGTCGAATTTCTTGTGGAAAGTTGTAGATGTATGTTTTGTACCAGATGTACAGTTTTTCGTGATTGTCGAGAGGGTGTAGTTGTGATGTGGTGTTACTCTGAGCAAAGCCTTCGTTGTATTTTTGTGGTGTTCTGTAGGTGGTGCAGCTGCTATCCCGCCGAAATTAGAAAAAAAGAAGGCCATCATTAACGTAAAGAACAACGATGACAGGTGTTTGATGTGGGCGTTGTTGTCAGCGCTGCACCCCGTCGAACAGAATGCTGAGCGTGCATCCAAGTACACCCAGTATGTTGATGAGCTGCGGTTCGATGGTGTGATGTTCCCTGCAACGCTCCGTGATGTACCCAAAGTGGAGTTACAGAATGGTCTTGCAATCAATGTGTTTGGCTACGAGGGGAATCTGTACCCACTCTATCTCAGCGAGCGACAGGAGACTCCAATCAACCTCCTTCTTCATGACAACCACTTCACATGGATAAAAAACTTCAGTCGTGCATGTGAGAATAAGAACAAGCGGGCAACACACTACTGCTTGCGATGCCTCTCCGCACACAAAACAGCAGACTCCCTGCAGCATCACAGCGAGAGATGTCAGGTGATGAAGCCCGTGCCAGTCGTCATGCCCACAGCAAAGGACAGAATCCTCAAATATACAAATTTGAAGCACAGGATGGTGGCTCCATACATCATTTACGCTGATACGGAGGCCATCATTGAGCCGATGGAGGAACAGCATGGCAGCAGCACTGTACGCACAGCCCGTCATGTACCATGCAGCATCAGGTATGTTTTGTTGTTGGTGTTGTTTTTGACTAATGTTTGCTGTACTCATGCCTGCACAGTGCTTCCTGTTATTCCTTCTTGTCTTGTTCTCCCCTAATTGTGTTCGTGTTGTAGTATGTGCATTTTGTGTGATTCCATTTTTTCAAAATCACTTATTCTTACTTTCCTTCTTCTTTTATGCTCTTGTAGATATGCTGCCATCCGATCCAACGGTGAAGTCCGTGGCGAGTTTGACGACTGCAGTGAGAATGCCATTCACAACTTTTTCGACAGTCTCAAAGAGTTGGAAGGCAGTATCCAGGAGGATTTGGCTGATATCAAGCCAATTCGCATGACGGCAGAACTGGAGCTTGAGTTTCAGAACGCAGTCAACTGCTGGATATGTGATGAAGTACTTGGAGAAGATCGTGTTCGTGATCATGATCATCTCACTGGTAAGTATTATAATTTTTTGTTTATTTTTTGTTGTTTTGCAGTTGTGTGTAGATATGCGTATGAAATGTGTATAGTGCATTTTCATGTCTTTGTAGCTGTTTGCATCTGTGTTTTATCATGGTGTATTGAATTGTATTGTCTGTGGTATCACCTTCACTGTAGATGTTTACCATGTTTGTGTATTCCCCTCTTTCTGAATATCTGCACAGGCAACTACCGCGGTGCTGCACACTACCAGTGTAATATTCAGCTGAGTATCTACCCAGATCGCCAGATCATTCCGGTTGTGTTTCACAACCTGAAAGGGTACGATGCTCACCACCTCATCGCCCACATTGGTATGACCGAGGTTGAAGAGGTGGAGTACGAGGACTCTAACCAGCGTAAGCGGATTAAGAAGGTTGGTGAGATCAGTGTCATCGCCAACAACATGGAGAAATATATTTCATTCAAGTGGCGTCAGTACCGCTTCATCGACTCCATGGCCTTCTTGAACTCCTCTCTTGACTCGTTGGTGAGCAACACCCCGGAAGATGCGCTCAAGCTTACTCGTACATTGGCCCATCATGACCTTCTCCTGCGTAAGGGTGTCTACCCCTACGAGTACATGGACTCCTTTGCTCGGTTTGATGAGACACAGCTGCCACCTAAATCAGCATTTGAGTCTAGTTTGACTGGAGAAGGTATCAGTGATGCCGACTATGCCCATGCTCAGAACGTATGGCAGGTAAGCAGCTTGTGCCTTCTGTATTGTGCTCTACTTATGACTTTGAATGCTGTTGTGATGTGCTCTACTCATTTTTTTGTACTCATTGCTCTCTATCTGTGGATGCTTGTGTGCATGTGTGTATGGATGCTTGCGTGTGTGTGTGTGTGTGCGTTGTTGTTTTGTTTTTCGTTTTGCAGACATTTGAGTGCAGTACAATGGAGACCTATCATGACCTCTATTTGCAAACAGATGTCTATCTTCTACAAACATGAAAATCATGAAAGTGCCGTCAATGGCACCAGCACAGCCAGGTAGGTGGCACAGAGATTTAAAGCCGGAGACAACGTCAGCTACATTGAGCTGGTCTTGGGGAAAGACAATGAACTTAGGGGCAAGTTGCCGGAATGTAGATACACACGCTTGCACGATGCTATGGACTGTAGAAGTATCAATGCGATACTCTTTTGCCAACTGCTGGAATTCCTCGGCATGAGCCATCCATTGGAGGAATATTGCAAGACGTTTTTTCCCAGAGATCACTTGCGCAAGTGCGTCGTCTGACAATCAATGGTATCTTTGACCAAATCGTGCACAGCCAGAAATGTGCATTTGGTCACTCGAAACTTTTCGATGAACCTCTCATCTTCGACACCTTGGAAGTCTTGTCCAAGTCTACTCCATATCCCCAAGATCTCTTTTTCCCAAACACCATCATCGTCGCCATCAGCATGAGCCGACCAGAACCGACGCTTGCGTGGCAACGATCCTACAAAACCCAGAAATCCTGGATTCAACATGACAGGTAGGAGCAAGGATGATATCGTCACTCTCTTCCTCTTCCTGAGAACAAATTTAACACTTTCTTCTGCGTTCATCTTCGTCACTATCACTAGTATCATCTTTCCGTTGGACAACAGCAGCTCGTGGACCAACTTCCTGACCACTATTGGGTTGCGTTGCCGTCATCCAATTCAGCAGCCAGCGTGACATCTCGATCTCTGTCAAAACTACAACGGACTCGAACATGAACTGAACATAATACCTTATCCCGTCCATTTACCTAGCAGAGACACACACCTGGCGACCGCATGGAACATATTACAGTTGATGAGTGAGTTAATGCTTATCTCATGCCGAATGCATTTGTGTACCAGTGATTTAGCCACCTGTTTACGTACATGTAGGTCATCGGGTTCATTCTGTTATTACCAAGTAACGCTCATTCTAAGCTTGCTTCAACACGTGTATTCCCATTTGATGGTGGGAGTGTTGAGTGTTACTGAGCGAATGCTGTTGAGTTACTCGAGCCCAATGCATATACAATACACACACACACGACATATACAACGTATTGCATACAGGTGACTCTTCCGCCTATTGAGCAAGGTCTTGGCGGCCATTTAAATTATTTTGCCATTACTGAGCAGTGCCAACTCTAAGCTCCCGTCAACATGTGCTCCGATTTGATGGGATTTGCTGAGGAGAGTGTAAACACTGCGTTAATCACGCTCAAGTCGGCTAAGGGCCAACTCAAGGATCCTCCGTTCCTCAGCTTCATCAGTTTCAGGCATTGGCGTGGTCACAGGTGCCTCGTCAGTAGCCACTTTCCTTTGTAGTTTCATTGTCCCATGGGACAACAAACAACAACAACAACCAACAACAACCAACAACAACCAACAACAACCAACAACAACCAACAACAACCAACAACAACCAACAACAACCAACAACAACCAACAACAACCAACAACAACCAACAACAACCAACAACAAACAACAACAACCAACAACAACCAACAACAACCAACAACAACAACCAACAACAACAACCGACAACAACCAACAACCAACAACAACAGCCAACAACAACCAACAACAACCAACAACAACCGACAACAACCGACAACAGCCAACAACAACCAACAACAACCAACAACAACCAACAACAACAACCAACAACAACCACCAACAACAATCAACAACCGACAACAACTGACAACAACCGACAACAACCGACAACAACCAACAACAACCAACAACAACCAACAACAACCAACAACAACAACCAACAACAACAACCAACAACAACAACCAACAACAACAACCAACAACAACAACCAACAACAACCGACAACAGCCAACAACAGCCAACAACAGCCAACAACAACCAACAACAACAACAACAACAACACCAACAACGACGACGACAACAACAACAACAGTGTCTGGTAATATAATGTGTGGCAGAGTTAATCTCATTTTAATGTAATCATTGTGAGCATAAATTTACGCAAGTATATAAGCATTTTCTCAAGCTGGGGAAATGTATGCCCGCAGATACTGAACTTGATCAATTTGATGATATATGGACTATGCTGTGCACACACTGCAAACCAAAGTGTGTAGGGTAATATTTGATGATACAATGAAGATTATTATACCGCACGATGCACTATATCCTGCAATATGATTGAGGCACAAGCCTGAAATATTTAACAAAAAATGTATATTGTTGGAGCCGGCCCGACACGCCAAGATAGGAGGAATTAATGACAGAAGAACGGCGGGGAGTTTTTGTATGAAAATGATGAAACATGTTCAATGTGGGGTCCTGTCCATTAAATGTCCTTGTGACCATATGCAAGTGTGGCCATACCATCATCCAGTATGTACCGCTTGCAGTCGAATGGAGACAATGCCACCTTGGTGGTTACCTCCTCATACACTGTGTGGCAATGTGATCGGAGACCCGTCATAGGCCTGGAAGACACACGATGACTGAGCAGTGCATCTACATAGTCCTTGTGGGTGATGGTATTTGCCAGGACTGCCTTTCGCACACCCTTGGCCCGTTTGGCCGATTCCTGTCCGATGTAGGAGTACATCTTCGATCTTAGACCTACAAACTCCACCATGGATTTCCCACCAAGCTCATCTTTGAATTTGCCAACCACTTTCTTATTGGCAGAAGTGTACTGAGGATGGTCAGTGGGAAAGTTGCTGGTGTCATACAGAGACAGATCCATCTCTGCATAAACATCACCGGTGGTGATGTGCACAATAACAGAGTCGGTGTCGGTGTACAACAGCCGGATTCTGCTACCATACTGCTCCTTCAGCACATCGTAGTAGAAGGAGTACATGTGTACCTTTGACAGGTCTAGTATCGACATACCCACATAGACCGGCTTGTTGAGCTTGATCTCAGTGTACTGCTTTTCTATTCCGACAAGCCCGTTCGGGAAAATGTCGTGCCGCACATATGTAGGCTTGCTCACTGCCCTCAGTACCTGCTCCTCACTTTCTTCTCGCAAGAGATCGATGCGTATTCGATTACGAACGTTCTCCATCGTCTTGCCAAAGACTGAGTTGTTCATCAGCTGCAGCACACAAACAGGCAAACATGACACATGAGAATCATATCATGCCATTCCTTCACATCAGCATATTTTTCAATTAGCATACTCCACGTCACACTTGCACCATACATGCGACAAAAACAACAACAACAACAACAACAACAACATACAAGACTGCACACAACGGTTGCATTTACCTTGTAAAAGCTCTTCTCAAAGTCGGTTGTAGCCCTCGTGCGAAGTGCAGTGTTCAGATTGATGTAGGGAGCCATCCAGGCACTCTGCTGAAATCCCAACACCTTGTGAACAGCGGTCACCACCATGCCCAGACGCGAATACAGCTGCAGTGTACGGTAGTGTAACACATACTTGGACTTGGGTAGGAGACTGGGTGTCAACTTGACTCCATCTACGGCTGACACTTTGAGCTCCTCCACAAGTGCTTGTTGGTATGGTGATAGCTTATCTGAGAATGTTCTCATCACTTCCGGTGCGAGTGGATAATCATTGAAGTAGTGGTGCAGCGAAGAGGGTACCTCAAGATCACACTCCACAATGAACCCAGTGCTCGAATCTACAGGGTGTGCCAGTATCTCGGACAGGTTCTTGTCACACCAGGCAAACTCGGATGTCGGCATACTCTGGCACATAGCCCAGCCATACAGGTTGTTGGCATCAAGGTATAGCAGGTATGATGTGGGCTCGGCAGAATTGTACTGATCCATCGTTGGGTTGTTGGCCTTGCCGTACCGCTGCGACGCCATTGAGATGCCCCCACGTAGACCGGCTTCGACAAACAGATGCATGTCTACATCCGTGAGCAGCTGCAGTTCAATCTGGGTGAACCGTAGTAGAGCATCCCATGCATATCCTACATAACACCATACAACACACCAGAACACAAACACGAAAGTCAATACACCATGCAAAAAGTATATAAATACACCGACAAGAAAGCACAAGAATACTAACAGAGAACACCATCTAAAGGAGAGAATACATTGGACAACAACAAAGACTGATGAACATACCTGGGAGAGTAAGGTAATGGGCTGGATCCAACCCATACGTCTTGTATGCCGTCTTGCGGAAATGCTCAAAGACATCTGCTAGAAGATAGACATCTGTTTGCAAATAGAGGTCATGATAGGTCTCCATTGTACTGCACTCAAATGTCTGCAAAACGAAAAACAAAACAACAACGCACACACACACACACACACGCAAGCATCCATACACACATGCACACAAGCATCCACAGATAGAGAGCAATGAGTACAAAAAAATGAGTAGAGCACATCACAACAGCATTCAAAGTCATAAGTAGAGCACAATACAGAAGGCACAAGCTGCTTACCTGCCATACGTTCTGAGCATGGGCATAGTCGGCATCACTGATACCTTCTCCAGTCAAACTAGACTCAAATGCTGATTTAGGTGGCAGCTGTGTCTCATCAAACCGAGCAAAGGAGTCCATGTACTCGTAGGGGTAGACACCCTTACGCAGGAGAAGGTCATGATGGGCCAATGTACGAGTAAGCTTGAGCGCATCTTCCGGGGTGTTGCTCACCAACGAGTCAAGAGAGGAGTTCAAGAAGGCCATGGAGTCGATGAAGCGGTACTGACGCCACTTGAATGAAATATATTTCTCCATGTTGTTGGCGATGACACTGATCTCACCAACCTTCTTAATCCGCTTACGCTGGTTAGAGTCCTCGTACTCCACCTCTTCAACCTCGGTCATACCAATGTGGGCGATGAGGTGGTGAGCATCGTACCCTTTCAGGTTGTGAAACACAACCGGAATGATCTGGCGATCTGGGTAGATACTTAGCTGAATATTACACTGGTAGTGTGCAGCACCGCGGTAGTTGCCTGTGCAGATATTCAGAAAGAGGGGAATACACAAACAT